TTAATGTAAAATTTTAGCATTCTGCAGATCTTGAGTCCCTTTCACGTGCAGACCACAACAAAACCCCTTGTTCATATATTAAGGTTACTTTATTATTTAATATTGACCATTATTATGTTCATATTTTAATATTTTAACATTAACTCTGTTACACTGTCAGGGAGCCTTTTCATTAGTTTTTATTTCTGCTTAACTTTTTCTGCTCTGTAGACATTATGACTGTTTGTAGGCTTGTATTTTTAGCTGTGTGGGGTTTTTTTTCTATTCTCATTTTTTAAAATAGCAAGTTGAAAACATGTTTTAAGCCACACTGGGAAAAAGCTGTGTTATTTTTCTGCATTTTTCTTATTAGTGTCACAAGCTCAAATCGAGGATGGCCATATGACACTACCCTTGTCTTCAGCAAGACCAAGTACAAAACTGTAGGCTAAATACAGATATTTAGAGAAAAAAACTCCATAGAAACATAGGCTTGGGAGGGATCTCAGAGGCTTCTAATCCAACCCCCTACCCAGGGCAGGAATTTTCATACCATTCTGGACAAATTCAGTACTTCAGTATGTATATCCTTGATTATTGGAAAAAGACAAAGAAACAGAAGAAGACATTTTTGCACAGAGAATAAGTCCTGACCTATTTCCAAACAGTTGGACTACTTCAACTGTTAATTTCTAGTAGCTTCATCCTCCCAAATCCATTATTTGCACTTGGGCATGACACTCAAATTTTCCTTTTTTGTATTTATGTGAACTAGAATACCTGAAACTGATGTTAGACTGATCTTGAGGCTGGGGGTCATGGGAATAATCTTAGTGTAATTACTTGTTGTTTTACTGAGATAAATTGGACTCTGTATCTAGGGGTGGACACCAGCCAGCCATTAAAACAACCAGTTTATGGGCAGCAACGCTGGGTAGATGATTTCTCCAAATTTCTCCAGTAGTAGATGAAATCCCCCAATGATTTCTTAAGGGCTCAATTTCCCGTTTAGTGGAGTTCTTCCTTTGGATTGTGTGGAAAGGCAGGTCTCCAGGGAGGTTGATGTAATGGCATGTGGGAATGACCTTGGGAGATGGGGAAGAGCCGCAGCCAGAACAACAGTTGGATAAACGGTAGCTGAGCCCACAGAAGGAATGGGGGTGTGACAAACGTCTCAGAAGGGACTCTCCCTAGTTTCTTGGGCTGTAAAGGCAATGGGGGAAAGATGTACTTTCACACTTGCAACATTCTGTCCATGTAACTTTACAATAAA